TAGATGGAATGCAGTGGTGCCGTCTCGGCTCACTGCAACCTCTGCCTCCTGGGTTCAAGTGATTCTCCTGCCTCAGCCTTCTGAGTAACTGAAATTCCAGGTGCCAGCCACCATGCCCAGCTAATTTTTTTAGTAGAGACGGGTTTTACTGTGTTGGCCAGGCTGGTCTCGAAGTCATGACCTTGTGATTCGCCTGCCTCAGCCTCCCAAAGTGCTGGGATTATAGGCTTGAGCCACCATGCCCAGCTACATAGAAGCTTTTTAATGTGGTTAAGTATGGTACTCTGTCTGCATGGCTTGCTTTTATCTAATAAGATCTACCTTCTAGGGTTATAAAGATTCTTCAAGCTTCATTTTTCCTTTTCAAGCTTGGCTGTTAATTGTTCAAGTCAACTTCTAGGTAGTTATTATCCCAATGTAGGGATAAGTTGTCCCAGCAGTGGAATGAGTACCTTTGACAAAATGCCACGGAAGAATCAACTTTTGTTGTTGTAGGTCATTCAGTGGTGCACCCACCACAAGGATGACCCTCCTCCTCCTGAGGATGATGAGAACAAAGAAAAGCGAACAGATGATATTCCTGTTTGGGACCAAGAATTCCTGAAAGTTGACCAAGGAACACTTTTTGAACTCATTCTGGTAAGTTTTTTTGTTTTTATTTTTTGAGACGGAGCCTTGCTCTGTCGCCCAGGCTAGAGTGCAGTGGTGTGTTCTTGGCTCACTGCAACCTCTGCCTCCCAGGTTTAAGCAGTTCTCCTGATTCCACCTCCCAAGGAGCTGGGATTACAGGTGTGTGCCACCACGCTTAGCTAATTTTTGTATTTTTAAGTAGAGATGGGGTTTCACCATGTTGGTCAGGCTGGTCTCGAACCCCTGACCTCGTGATCCACCTGTGTCAGCCTCCCAGAGTGCTGGGATTATAGGCATGAGCCACCATGCCTAGCATCTGGTAAGTTTTTTTTAACATATAAGATAGCTCTATTCCAGAGCCTTTAAATACTACTTCTTATAGATTTACAATTTGCTAACTTCATTGACACTGAATTTTAATACTCTGAATTAAAATGTAATGCCATATTTAAAATCCACATATCAGTAACACATTAAATGTAAATGGTCTAAACACAGTTAAAAGGCAGAAATTATCATATCAGAAAAGCAAGATTAGCTATGCTGTCCATAAGAAACCCACTTTAAGTAAATAGACACACCTAGGTTTAAAGAATGAAAGAAGGTAAACTATACTGACACGAATCAAAAGAAAGCTGGAGTGACTATGTTAAAATAGATTTGGAGGCAAAGAATATTACTAGGGTTAAAGGGGGTTATTTTGTATTGTTAAGGGGATCAGTTTTTTAAGAAGACATAACAATCATAAATGTTTATCTGCCTAGAAGGAGAACTTCAAGAAGTGAAACAAAACCCAGAAGAACTGAAAGAAGTCCACAAATTTGCAATCATAGAGATTTCAGTACCGAATTAATATAACAAGTAGACAGAAATCATGATAACTTGATATAACACTGTTGACCAACTTAATGGACATTTATAAAACATTTTATCTATCTATATCTATATATATGTATCTTTTTGAGACAGAGTCTCACTCTTGTCACCCAGGCTGGAGTGCAGTGGTGCAATCTCTACTCACTGCAACCTCCTCCTCCTGAGATAAGTGATTCTCCTGCCTTAGCCTCCTGAATAGCTGAGATTACAGCCACCTGCCACCACGCCCAGCTAATTTTTTGTATTTTTAGGATAGACAGGGTTTCACCATGTTGGTCAGGTTGGTCTCGAACTCCTGACTTCAGGTTATCCACCCACCTTGGCCTCCCAAAGTGTTGGGATTACAGGTGTGAGCCACTGCACCTGGCCTAAAACACTCTATGTAATGATAGCAGAATACATATTCTTTTCAAGGGTACATTACCAAGATAGACCATGTTCTGGGCCATAAAACAAGTCTCAGCCTGGCACAGTGGCTCACACCTGTAATCCCAACACTGGGAGGTCAAGGCATGTGGATCATTTGAGGCCAGGAGTTTGAGACTAGCCTGGTCAACATGATAAAACCCCATCTCTACTAAAAATACCAAAATCAGCTGGGTGTGGTGGCACACAGCTATAATTCCAGCTACTTGGGAGACTGAGGCAGGAAAATCGCTTGAACCTAGGAGGCAGAGGTTGCAGTGAGTCAATATCGCACCACTGAACTCCAGCCTGGATGACATAGTGAGACAGTGTCTCAAAAAAAAAAATCTGTCATAAAAGGATTTACGCCATACACAGTATGTTCTCTGCCATGGAACTAGAAATCACAAACAGAAAGGTAACTAGAAAAATCTGCAGTTACTTTAAAACTAACACATTTGCAAATAACCTATAAGTCAAAGAAAAAATAAAAAGAATTCGTATTTTGAGCTGAATAGAAGTAAAACACATGAAAAATCCGTGAGATGCAGCTAAAGAAATACTTAGAGGGAAATTGATAGCATGAAATACCTATATTATTAGAAAAGAAGAAAAGTTTCAAATCAGTGATCTAAGCTTCCACCTTGAGCAACTAGTAAAAGATGAAATTAAATACAAAGTAAACAGAAGAATGAGAATATAAAAGGACAGAAATCAGTGAAATAGGAAATTGGTAAACAATAAAGTCAGTGAAACCAAAACCTGTTTTTAAAAATCAGATCAATAAAGTATAATGCTATAACTGCTTACTTGAACGCTTTTAAGTGTGGACAAATATTATTGTCAAGATCTGATATAGTATTTGTGTGCGTCTGTACACACATACACAGCAGTAGTGGCCGTTGTTTAACATTTGAGCTAGTATAGTTTGGTTAAGGAAGCAGAAGGATTCAACATTATAGAGATATAACAAAGATCGCATAAATGTCTTTCATGGAGGAACTTATGAGTGATTTATTCTTCTCCCTTTAATAAAATTATAATTTTAAGCTTTATTAGACATGGAGTATCAATCATTAACTTTGGATTTAGTTTAAAACATCAAGTATACTTTAAGGAAAACAACTATCTCTTTACAGGCTGCAAACTACTTAGACATCAAAGGTTTGCTTGATGTTACATGCAAGACTGTTGCCAATATGATCAAGGGGAAAACTCCTGAGGAGATTCGCAAGACCTTCAATATCAAAAATGACTTTACTGAAGAGGAGGAAGCCCAGGTATGTAGCACACAGGTTTGTCTCTGATCGCATGCTCTTAAAAAGGGACTAAAGCCTATAACATACCAGAAAAGAGGTGACTGTATCAAGTAGTCTTGATACTTGAGGGATACTAAATAGTTTCCGTGTCTTAAAGATACTCTTACTGGACTGTCTGTATGAGTCTAAACACTTACATGATACTGCATTTTAAACATAAGAACAATTAGTTTTCAACAAGAGGAGCTCTTTCTTGTGAATGTATTAACAGTTACTAGTTTTGGCACCTGCAACTTTTTGTATAGAACATACATATCTGACTTCAGAAAAGCAGGCCCTAGAGAAGTGTATGCCAGGGCACTTGAGAGCAACTTAATGAGAGGAGGAGATGAAAGAATAGATCAGAATGATTTTGTTCACATGACTACAGGCTGAAATTGTGTCAGTGAACTAACTGAATTTGCTCTGTCAACTTTAGTAAACTGCCCATTGCCTTTATTTTGTTCATAATTTCAGAAGGGCAGAATAAAAACCTTGGGAGGCAAAAAAAGGAAATCTGGAAGTATAGTCTTAACCTGGTGTTCTAATTTTCCATCTGTTCTTCTGACTCAACTCACTGACTATCAATGAATCAGTATGTAATATTTCTAAGTCTTAGGAAAGACTACTCAAGTTAAGGTACTTCCTTATATCCATCTCTTTTAGGTACGCAAAGAGAACCAGTGGTGTGAAGAGAAGTGAAATGTTGTGCCTGACACTGTAACACTGTAAGGATTGTTCCAAATACTAGTTGCACTGCTCTGTTTATAATTGTTAATATTAGACAAACAGTAGACAAATGCAGCAGCAAGTCAATTGTATTAGCAGAATATTGTCCTCATTGCATGTGTAGTTTGAGTACAGATTCCAAATCTACGGCTGAGTTTCTTCTAGTATGATTGAAAGTTTCTTTTTTCTTTGCTCTGAATAAAACTGAACTGTGGGTTCTCTATAAGTGGCATTTTGGGCTTTCCCTCTTTTTTGTAAAGCAATGTCTGCCTAGTTTATTGTCCAGTTAACTTTAGTGACCTTTTAAAAGTTGGCATTGTAAATAAAACAACCTGCAAAAAAGTTATCTGGAATAGAATTAACAAAATATTATCTTTATTCATGAGTTGGAAACTGGAAAAGGCTTCTTGAAGTAAATGTTCTGAGTGGAGTGTACTAGGATGTCTTTCAGCCTCCTGCAGGCAAGGAGTACCACTGTATTGATTAGCCTGTATTTAGCAGGGCTCCTCCCTTCATTGCATCTGAGGACTTGTTTTCTTTATCTTTAATTTTATTTTTAATCCTCTTAGCTTTAAATATATTGCCTAGAGACTCAGTTACTACCCAGTTTGTGGTTTTTTGGGAGAAATGTAACTGGACAGTTTGTTAGCTTTTCAATTAAAGACACTTAACCTATGTGGGATGTCATCTTTTTATAATCAGTGTTCCCATGTGGGGAAAATTATTCACACTACTTGCATGTAAAAAATAATTTAACTTTTAACATTAAAATATGTGGTAAAATTCAGAAAACATCCATCATAAATGCAAGATACTTTCAATAAAAAGGAAGTTATATTGTAGGTAGTTAAGTTTGCTTTTGTGGACTTAAATGTGTCTCTTCACTTAAATGGGTTGAATTTGTATATATTTGTTTAGCTTGAAAAGACTTAGTTTATATTCCAGCTCACTGGAGGCTGCTGACATAAGTATAACTTCTGTCTTTTCTAATTGTCATTTATATACCTAACTGGAGCCAGTACTTTAATTCTTAACACAGAATTACTCTGTCATTGTTTCCAGCTTGCCTTCTGCAATAGAATGAAGTTTTTGTTGCTGTCTTGAGATGGCTTACAAATTTTGATTTTTTTTTTCTTTCTTGTGCTGCCTTTTTTTCTTCTTCCTTTTCCAGTTAATGTCTGTATTCACATGTAATCTTGTTTTCTCTTCACGTTCACTGAGTAATTTAGGCTTAGATTATCCCTTGGCAGTAGTTTGCCTTCATCTCACCTTTCATTTGCCCCAAATTCACCTTATTTAATAAAGTCCCATATGTTGTCTCAATTTCCATTTATTGTCTGTACCAGAGATAGGAAACTATAATGTATGTGGGTCAAATCAGGCCTATAGCCTGTTTTTGTAGTCTTTGAGCTAAAAATGGTTTTTACATTGTAAAGTGTTGTTTAACACACACACGCGCGCGCGCACACACACACACACACACACACACACACGAACCTGAATATGACCAAAAAGCCTAACATATTTACTATCTGGCATTTACAGAAAATGTTTGCCAACACCTGTGACTACTTTTGGATTCCTCGTTCCCTTTACTCTTAGGAAATAAGCTTGTTTTCTTTGAGACAGAGTCTTGCTGTGTCCCCCAGGCTGGAGTGCAGTGGCGCGATCTTGGCTCACTGTAATTTCCGCCTCCTGGGTTCAAGCCATTCCCCTGACTCATCCTCCCGAGTAGCTGGGACTACAGGCACGTGCCACCACACCCAGCTAATTTTTGTATTTTTAGTAGAGATGGGGTTTCACCATCTTGGCCAGGCTGGTCTTGAACTCCTGACCTCGTGATCCCAACTGCTAAGATTACAGGCATGAGCCACTGTGCCTGGCCAGAAATAAGCTTGTTTTCTGTTTGTTCTGGTTTTAGCGGGGAGGGTAGCAGTGTACGCTCCCAGCTGAATTGTCCCATCTACCAATTCCTCTATAATGATCAACTTCTGCAAAAACCTTATCCACCTCAGGTATCCTTAGCAGCTGGGCATGGTGCTTTATGCCTATAATCTCAACATTTTGTGAGGACAAGGTGGCAGGAGGATCATTTGAGCCCAGGAGTTTGAGACCAGCCTGGGTGACATAGGAAGACCTCTTCTCTACAAAAAAAAAAAAAAAAAAAATTGGCCGGGCACGGTGGCTCACGCCTGTAATCCAAGCACTTTGGAGGCCAAGGCAGGCGGATCACCTGAGGTCAGGAGTTCAAGACTAGCCTGACCAACATGGTGAAACCCCGTCTTATTAAAAAAAAATTAGCAGGCATGTGGTGCATGCGTGTGGTCTCAACTACTTGGGAAGCTGAGGTGGGAGGATTGCTTGAGCCTGAGAGGTCGAGGCTGCAGTGAGCTGGCATTGCACCACTGCACTCCAGCCTAGGCAGCAGAGCGAGACCTTGTCTCGAAAACAAAAAGTATCCTTAGCAGTATTATGACAAACACAAATCTGCACTGAAGGTCCAGGATTACTGCCATATATCATGTTTAACTTGTAAAGGAGCTTGTTATTATTGCCACTTTATCTGTATAATACACAGGAGTTGTTAGAATTATAGGAGTAAATAATGCCACTATTTACAGTTAAAGGATACTGGATCTTTCAGAAAGATTGGATGGACAGACAATATAGTAATTTAAATTTTTGTTTCCTTCTTGACTTTCTGTAATCTCTAATCTTTAAACAATAAAAATTCCTGGTAATCTTAAACTTTTACATTAATAGAAATCCAAGAGAAAATAGGTCATTTGTGACCATTGTGGACCCAAATAAATCATGGACGTGGTATTAAGAAGCCCTTTTCAATCTGGCTGCACCATTCTTTTCCTACCCTTCTTTTTCCTATTCTGTGCTGTATGCCCACTATTTAATATATCTACTAGAACTTTTCTAGGCTCTCACCTGGAGTGAGTGGTCCTTTCTCATTATCATAGCAGCCAAACCTCAATCTTCAAAACTGTACTAATTTCTGCCTACTCTCTTACTTCCCAGCCATTATTCTAAACTAATATTGTGGCATGAAGTCATACCTTGAGGCTGGAGTTTCAGTGTCTGCATGGCCTTGAGCACATTGGAAATAGTAGGTAATATGGTTTTATAGATCTAGTACAGTCTGCTTTATATTAATCCCAATACAATTGGAAGTCACTTGACAGCAGGATTTAACTTGTATTTAGCAGCACTACTCCATGAATTTCAATATATGTAACATAAGTGAAAGGTCCTTGTGAAATGCAGGCACAGGGCATAATGAAAAGCAGAATAGTTTTAAAAATGCGTGAGATGGAAGAGCTGGGATAGCCTTGGTTTGGAGAGTGGTTACGGATGAATTATGAAGATGTTCTAATTACTGTTACAGTAGTAGAGGAAAGGAAACTCTTCTTGATTAACTAACCTTAAGGGTCAATTAGGAAATGACCTTTATTTCACCAGGAAAGAGAATTGAGAGGAAAAAGGTATTTGGCCGATTTGGGTGATTGAAGAATGTTTGTGAGATTTCTCTGTAAATATGGAAAATGCATGCTGCTTCCTGCAGTGTGCTGCTTTTAGTGATGATGTCCTTTCAAGGACCTTATGTCAGTCCTTTGACTTCTTGCCTTTTCATTGATTATGTCACTTGTGATCTAAAACCAAAACCTTCCTGAATGTTAGCTTATGACTTTCTCCTTAACATTGTCATAGCAAAAGATGTGCCCCCTCAAACAAATTCTAATATATATTTTTTTGAGACAGTCTTGCTCTGTAGTGCAGGCTAGAGTGCAGTGGCGTGATCTCGGCTCACTGCAACCTCCCCTTCCCAGGTTCAAGCAATTCTTCTGCCTCAGCCTCCCAAGTAGCTGGGATTACAGGCATGTGCCACTATGAGCAGCTAATTTTTTCATATTTTTAGTAGAGATGCAGTTTTACTATGTTGGCCACGCTGGTCTCAAACTCCTGACCTTGTGATCCACCTGGCTCAGCCTCCCAAAGTGGTGGGATTACAGGCGTGAGCCACGGAACCTGGCCCTAATAATTCTTAAGTTGTAGAGGCAAGTTACTCTTTTGAAGTGCTGTTGTGTTAGCTTACTTTAATAAATCTACTCTTGATATGTCAAATAGATAATGCTTCACAGTTCTTATATTTTTCCAAAGATTCACATAATCATCGTGCAGCTCTCCAGGTGGGATCATAACTATGACTTTTTACTCTATAACTGTTAGAATATTCCCGCTACTGGAATTAAGCAAGAGCTATATTGTGACTTGGTTGGATAGGTAACTGCAACCCTGTAACATGACATCATAGTAATGCTGAACTTACCTTAAAATTAGCTAGGGAGGGAGGAACAGTGAGTCACTGGGCATCTGACTTAGGGCAGGCAGATTTTCCAAATAATTTTCAATTTTACTTAAAAAATTGGCCAATCCTATGGGCTGTGTTATGATCCCAACATAAGTTTTTTAAAAATTACATAAGTTGCCAAGGCTCTCAATAAGGCAGTTGGGAAATATGAAGTGGTTTCCACCAGAAAAAGAGATTTGAGAAAGCAGCAAACCTCTTGCTCTGAGCACCCTTTACAAGCTGAATTTTCGCTTGCCAGCATTACCATTGGAAGATTTTTCACTGCTCCTTGCAGAGCAGGGCCACCCCACAGGCATTGTGCCCAGAGCCTGAAGAGCTTTTTGATTCTTCTTACAAGGGATAAGGTCTCACCTCTGCCACCCAGGCTGGAATGCAGTGGTGTGATCACGGCTGACTGCAGCCCCGAACTCCTGGGCTCAGTCCTCCCGCCTCAGCCTCCTGGGTAGTTGGGACTACATGTGTGTGCTGCCATGCCTAGCTAGTTTTTGTATTTTTAAATTTTTTATAGAGATGAGGTATTGCCATGTTGCCTAGGCTGTTTTTGAATTCCTGGGCTCGAGATCCTCCTGCCTCAACCTCCCAAAGTGCTGGGAATATAGATGTGAGCCACAGTACTCACCGATTTTTCTTTTTTCTAAATAAAGCTCAAAGTACACTGTAGTAGTAAGGAATCAACCACGTAAGTGTTCTCCCTACAAAGTTTGAGGATTTGAAAAGTTAATCTTCAGTTATCTGGATTTGAAACCAATGTGTGAATAACTTTTTAAGCTAGGAAAAAGTCAATAATAAGAGTGCAAGCAAAGGGAAAGCTTATAAAATGGTTGAATCCTTACAGTTCTGGCTTCTCCTTGGTAGAAAGCATTAGACATGCTTTTCCTCTTGGGAGCTGGGAGCTTTTGGTGTAGTTCAGGAGACAAGGCATAAATACTGCTGGGAGGCAGTGGGTAAATAGTAAAAATGTTTCTGTACAGAACAAGATTAATGAGCCAGTGGGGGACTACAGAACTGAAAGGTGCTAGGAAAGGTTCTGTAAAGTTGGATTTGTTTGGGGGTAGAGAGATGCCATAGTGAGGAAAAAACAGTGCTCAGTTGGGAACTAACAGCAGAAGTTTGGGTGTTGGTAAGTTTCCTTGAGAATATGGACTGTAAAGAGAAATTAGGGTGGGATTAGTGATACTACGTTGCTGACAGTAGTATTTTATCAGAGTGTGTATTCATCAGACACACATTAGGCAGGGCAATTTTTGAGTGTTTGAATTAAATTCTAATTTTTGTTGTTGTTGAACTAAACCATTCCCTTGAATGTTGGGTCCTGATGACTTTTTCTTGTTTACTGTTGTTAAAAATCATTACTTCCAGTGGTCAAAGAGAATGAATAAGAGAACTGGCTGTGCATATCAAGATGAAGTATGGTGTAAGAAATAGTTTAGAGCATGTCCTTTGGCCCAAGATTGAACCGTTTGGACGCCTAAGAAGAGTTGGGTAAATGTTAGCCTTTCTGCTGAGGTGTTAGTGGAAATGATCATTGGTGGTGGCAGAAAAGTGTTGTTGAAGGTGTTCTTGCTTGACACACTTCCAATGCAGGGCATAGTTTGAGCGATAGATGATTAATTCATTGATGATGTACTTGTTGCCTTGCAGTCTTGTGTACTGTTGGCTACCTCTGGTCTGTGTGCCAGTATAGAGCAGCATTCTATGGTAGGAATGTAGTTGCTCACAACAGCGTTTGCTTCTGCATCTGTAGTTCTTGTAACCTTCGGATATCTCTCAACTTGAAATTTTCTGCAAGTATTTAAGTATATTCAGACGTTCTGATATCTCTTAGCTTTAAATTTTCAGTCTGCTATATAGCAGCCTCTGATTGCATACTGAGGATCAGCTTATTTCATTAAAGTGCCCTCATTTTGAATGCCTCCCACCTGTTTGGTGAAAATTCCTATTGTCCTTTTTTTCCTGAGTATACCATTTCATAACCTCTAACCCTGCCTTCTTCAATTGCTTTGCAGATTTTTCTGTTCCAGGAAGCTTACTGAAAGGGGTGGGAAAATAGAGGAGCTGTACTCTGTACCCTGAAGCTACTCAAGCAGGGTTTCCAGAGTGACTTTTTTTTTTTTAATTTCTATTTTTTTGGTGAGTAGAACCTAGCTTTTCTCCTTCCCTCCTGTCCCCCCCAGACCCCCCACACTGCTTCCTGACATTGATTGCACATGCCTGAAAGAACAAGGCTTCAGATAAAAGAATGAGAACACCTGAATGAAAAAGGAAGACTTACTTGGTCTAGAGCCCCTGGTGAATATGAAAGAAGTCTTGGCCTGGACTGTCTCCTGCATAATTCACAGCTGCTCCCTTGTCTTCAGAAGTGAAACATCCCTTACCTTCTATTGCTAGTGACCTAACTTGTGAGGATTGCTAGGGGATAGGATAGTTTCCACCCTAGGACGTATAAGTTTTCCCTTTCCAGTTAACATGCCTAATCCCATGCTGTCTTGAAGAGCTTGAAAATCCCTCCTGACCTGAGCCAGGCTTTTATTTTGGGGACTGCCTATGAGAACATCCCTACCATCTGTGTTCCCTGTTTTCAGATTCCCTGCCATTAGAGTATTTTCACGTGCTCACTGCCAGTAATGGTTTGTTAGTAGTTCCATACCATTGGAGAGCTCAGGAGTCTGAATTTGAAAGATGCCCACAGGGTGATTTGAGGAGGTGATCATAGTAAGTTGGGATTGGGGGAGTTGATACATGCAGGGTCTGCTTGGGTAGGCAGCTGTTTCAAGGACCCTTGGTGAACTCTTAAAGCCCTGATGAGCTTAAAGAAAGCTCTGAAGAGATCTGAGAGTCATGCTTAAGCATCCTTTCTAACCTCAAAGAAAAGCCAACTTAGCCTTTTTATACAATTAACTAGATTTGGGTCTTAAATTCTTCTACTTTGATATATAGGCCTAAGAAGTAGGAGTTTCACATGGCCTTGTTACTCTTGCCCCTTCTTTTCTGTGCTGTTTTTTGAGAAATGGATGCAGGAACTGATTCCCTTTCTTCCTCTCTGGAACAGGATATAAAGAACCATTCTGCTTCCCTTTACTTACGGCCTTCCTGGCCAGGCTTACTGTATACTGAACAGAGCTAGGCAGCCATGGTTCTGAGCTAGCTATTGGGAGTCCACAGCCAGAAGGAATGGGAGACAACAGGAACCATTCAAAAGATAGTTACATGTCAGAATAGAGTCCAGCTGTGGGGTTCTGTTAAAGGAGACACCTTCAAATTGGGAAACATAGGCTTTGTCCACTTGCTGGGCTAAACCCTCACCATATCCACTGAGCACAAAATGGGGAGCAGGTGTACCAGGGGAGGGATGAACTTGTTTCAAGCACGTTGCAAGTCCGCTAGTTGTCTGGAAATGTTCAAGGAAGTAAAGTCTAGCGTATCTTGTCCTATAACATCTCAGAAAACAGGGTTGGTCCTCAGCTGACAGTGAAGGGGGGCTGGTATGGTATTAGAAGTTGAACTTTGAGGTTGCAGTCTCAAGTCACCCTCTGGCCTCATAGGAATGCACCAGGGTGACTTGGGAGGATCTGATTTTCCTTTATGAAGTCAGATTAAAAAAAAAAAACTGATTTGATTTAAACAAAGTTACAAAGGCTTCCCTGCCAGTACACAAAGACTGCAGTGTTCATGTATCTGTGTACTCTAAGACACCAAATCAGATGCAGCAACCTGATTTTGCATAAGCCCTGGCTAGAATGTAGGTTTTTTTTCCAAACAACTAGGCCAGTAGCCAGAACAGAATTCTTTAAAATGGGACAGATGTCCAGAGAATGGCTAGTGTCCTCTAACACTCTCCCAGAAAGAAGCAAGTCTAGGGTTACAATGTCCAGTGGCCTACTTTAGACAGACACTACTCTGGAAGATTACTTTCTTTATAAATATCTTTAAACACAAAATCCAAAAAATATAACTCAGTAGAATGATGATGACAATGCAGATGGTGGCCCATGTGAAAACACTTCTTGTCCAACATTTATCACCTATTTGTTGACCTATTGAGATGCCTTCATGACACCTTTTACATTCATGATAGGTCTAAGGAAGATAGCAGTGTACTTCGTGGAAACTGCCATGTAAAAAGTGGGTTGTAGGGTGCCAAACAGTTAAGTGCACAGGGATATACGGAATGGAACAGACATTGGAGACTTCAAAAGCTGGGAGATGAAAGGGGGATGAGGTATGAAATCCTACCTGTTGAGTACAGTGTACACTGTTTAGGTGCATGGTACACTATTTGGGTGAGGGGTGCACTAAAAGCCTGTACCTCACCACTACACAATATATCCATGTAACACAGCTGTATTTGTACCCCCTAAATGCATACAAATAATGTAAAAATAAAGTGGATATGGTGGCTCTAGTGTCCACCAACAGTGTGTATGATTTTTTAAAAAGTGGGTTGTAGATTTCTCAAACTTGAAGGTTTGCGTGAAAATATGAAAAATACTTTGTGTCTTAACAGATACAGTTGTTGGGAGGAAAGGATGCTATTAAAATATCCTTTAGGGTTTTATGGTGCTAATAGGTTATAAAAAGACTCCTATTTGGTCTTGTTTTCTTTGAAATAGGATATGTACTTGTGGAATGTTTTCTCTCTGCCCCGAGAGGGAAATGGAGCCTAGTGGTCAGGTGTACCTATTTCAGGTGGGATTGTCTTTTCAGGCTGTACGGTTGGCAGTTTCCAATTCATTTATTTTTATATGAGCACTGGGGAGCAGGCTGGCCTACATCATTGTGGGGTCAGGATGGGGGGTTTAAGAGCAAAGCTTGGAATGGGAGTATGGGCCCAGCTCTCAGGGGTGAGGCAGGCAGGGCCCACACCCCTTTGGGGAAATGACAAGTGTAATCCCTGATTTCTGCAGGTTGGAGGTTTGGAAACGTGCACCATAGGGAACAAACTCCAAGTTTCCTGATTGGAGAAGAAAAGGAAAGAATACCATGTTTTGTTACTGAGACAGCTTATTCCTCAGCGTCAGACTTTGAAAAACAAACCCAGTAAAAAGTTATCTTTATTCTCATGTTTAAAAAAGTTTTTCTATGATGATGCATTAACAATATAAAAATACTCTGAACACTACAATAATCTTTTTTTCTCAAGACTTCTTGCAGTATTACACTAGAATATGTGGTCTTTGGAGTCTGAGAAACCAGTGGCTAAAGTAGGAACTAAGGGCTTTTTTTTTTGAGGGGTGTGTGAGTACATGGACAGCCTTTTTTTTTTTTTCTTTTTAAGATGGAATCTCCCTCTGTTGCCCAGGCTAGAGTGCAGGTGTGCAATCTTGGCTCACTGCAACTTCTGCCTCCCAGGTTCAAGTGATTCTCCTGCCTCAGCCTCCTGAGTAGCTGGGATGAGAGACACGTACCACCATGTCTGGCTACTCTTTACATTTTTAGCGGAGATGAGGTTTCACCCTGTTGGCCAGGCTGGTCTCAAACTCCTGACCTCAGGTGATCTGCCTGCCTCGGCTTCCCAAACTGCTGGCATTACAGGTGTAAGCCACCACACCTGGCTGACCAGCCCTTTTTTCTTTGGATTCAGGCTACATATGGTGAGAAGGCAAGGAACAAAAATTAAAAACTTGTTTTTCAAGGCTCAGGCTTGAAGCTTGGCTCAAAAATGAGTTAAAGTAGGCTGTGGTGAAGACCTGTTGTCCACCACTGGAGGTTTTCTGGGCTCCTTGATTTAGCTGTAATGGTCCTCTGTCCTGCAGTCCCATGGGGAAACTGCAGCTGGCCTGGACTGAATGCTGGAAGACAGGCTCTGGCTGTTGTGAGGTTTTGGGTTTGCCGTCTCACAGCTGTCCAGGAGCTGGCTGGACTGCCATGGATGAACTGGAAATGGAATTGTGAAAAAGGCTCTGTGAATGGGGAGGGGTGCACACTGAATTTGGGCCATGACTTCTCTGAACTGTTGATTGTAGCTGCTGGTGACAAGCCTGGGACCTTGGTATCAGAGCTTCTTAGGCTAGTGAGTTTCTCAGGAAACATTTCAAAGTAATTTGAACTACAACCAGATTACATCCTCTGCTCCCCAACTTGCCTGAGAAGGTAGTGTCAGGTTATTTCTGTTGCTTAAGTTGATAGGCCTAAACTTAACCTATTAAATTCCCCTTCCCACCCCTGCTTCTTGCAAGCTCCTGAGAATACAGAAGCTTCCTCTGGTCCAACTTATGCGTAGCAGCTGGTTTTTTATAGAGCTTCTCCATTTCCTTAAAAGAGAAGGGTTGTCATCTTGAGCTTTGTGTTTGTGACCATTCGCACATGTTGTTTGATAAACCAGCTCATTCTTGGTCCATGAAGTATCTGTATGGGGAGGGTGTGGCAGTAGGGGCTAGGGGAGATGGGTAGAGAAGGTAGCTAGGCTCAGTTCAGCCCATCTCTGACCTATAGCAGAAAAGCTAGGGAGGCAGAGGCTTCTGGCTGGCAAGACAGATGGTAAAAAGAACAGATGCAGGCAGCCATAGCTACAAGATATGCCCTTAATTAGGTGACACATCAACACAGATCTGATTCCCACCACTTGGAGCAGTTTGAATCGATGGCATCAGGTGCAGGCAGAAGTTGTGCAGCCTCTGAAATCTTCAGGGTCTGGACCCTGAGATGGAGTTAGCAGGACCCCTGGCTGATTTCCATGCAATCTGGGTCTCTGTTGCTTCCTCTCAGGGATAGGCTCCTGGAGGAGGCCAGTTGTCCTGTACCTGCTAGGCTGCCTGTCTCTGAGATTCCTGTTGCTGTACCTGTGTACTCTGCAAGGCGCTGCGGGGGGCCTGTGGGGGCCCTGGGGCTGGGAGGCTGAGAGCAGTGGAGAGATCTGGGGATGTAGGTGCCGGCTCTGCAGGGCTAGCAAGCAGTTCTGTGGGAAAGTGGGGCAGCAGATGGTATGAGAGTGAGTCCTGGGGAGCTGGGGACCCGGGGCAGCCTAGAGCACTGTCATCGGAAGGAACGGGGCTGGGGTAGCGGCCTTCTCCGGGTAAGTACCGAATGCATTTCTTTTTCCTCCTAGGAATAGTGAAGAGAGTTATCTGTAAACAGAGGGTGAATTCATAGTCATACACACAACCAAAAAATGCTGCCTTTGCACAGGCCTGGCTGATTTCTTGTCGTCTCTTCCCGTGACTTGTGTGGTAAGTCAGTGTCCTCAGACTGCCAGCCTGGTTGGCCTGGCCCAGACCTAGGACAGGTGCAGTTCCCAGAACAGCCACCAGGTGGCACAGGGGTCTTTTGTAACTAGGGCTGTGGGACACCTGTCTTCTAGGGGAGTCATCTCCCAGTGCCGGCCTTTGAGCTTCTCCAGGTTTGTGGGAATGAGATCTGCACTAGGGCAAGGGGCTGCAATGCCTGTGGCTTTCTTGCTCAGCCATCCCAGTCCTCAGGCTGGGCTAGAGGAAGAAGACATGGGCAGTGACTCCTCTTGTCCATTACCATCCTTGAGTTCTCTGAGCCAGTTTGTCTCTGATGGAGTGGATGGAATAGAACCTCCTCTGGAGACAGGGTTGTTTGCCACTGTGCATACATATGTGGGTACACAGACACACTCCAAACTCAACTCCTCTTTGCTCTTTAACAGGGAGCATGGTGGGCGCTCTGAAGGCCTGGACAAGTATTCCTTAGAGCCTGTGGCCTTACTGCCTGGAGTACGCTCTGTTTTAGCTCTACCAGGCCTGGCCTGAACCTGAGGAAACTTAAACCACTTGGTGGGTAAACCTTGTCACACCCACAGGTATTTCTCGCTTGTACAGTGAAACACATGGGCATAGGGCCACTAGGCCCATTTCTTAGACAGCCCAGGGTACCCTGGTTCCTCTTCCCCAGCCTCTCCAGCCCTCTTGTCTCAGTAGGTGCAAGACAGCAGGTCACAAGGATGCCTAGCAACTACATAGTTCTGTGTTGTCACCTTGTTTTCAGATTAAGGGCTCAGGATGGTACAGGCAGGGATCCCACCTTGAAGTGAGGGAACTGATGGGCCATGATGATTTTGAGGCCTGGGAATGGGCTCCAGGCCCCCTGAGTGGTGTTTGAGCCATCCGTTTGCTACCTTCTTGAGTCTGTCCTTCCTTTCTGGAACATCATGTCTTTCCACTTCTCCTGCACTTAAACCCAAGCGGTCTTCTCCATACACTGTGTTCAGCATTTACTAGTATTAGGAGGCCTGAGCTCCCCAATCTGCTAAGTATGCTAGTGGGCTGAGGGGCCAAAGGAGTGGGCTGCAGGCCCAGTGGAACATGTGCAGAGTCAGGGAAGCAGCTTAAAGCAAAGGGAGAACAATGGTGGGGACAAACCCACCTGCACGGACCACACCAATCCGTCTGCTGGTTGAGGCCAAAGCGAGCACGGCATTTCTTAGGCGAGCCAGGGTCTGCTCACAGCCATGCCAGAGGGGCAGAGCAGGGCAGAGGGCGAGCAGGCAGCGGGGCAGAGCAGGGCCCAGAAAGAAGAGGTAACATCAGTGTTAGCCAGTTACAGATACCCTATAGCCCCCACAGACAGAGTGGGCCTCTCCATGGCACAGCCAGCCCCAGTGGGAGCCCGAGAGCCCAGAGCCAAGATATCAGGAAATGTGGGCACCCAGCCAGACAGTAGAGGCAGTGGGAAGAATGGGAGGGAGGGGGTCCTGTCACTCTGGCTCATCTCTGTGGCTTGTGGGGTCCTTGCAGCACGGAGGTTACAGAGGGGCCCAGGTAAGACCATGGAGTTCCAGCCTCTTCTGCCTTAGAGCTACCCACCTCCTCCCCAACTCCCTACCCATTTTATCCTGTTTTTCTTCATTCTTGACTTATATTCCCTCAAGGGATAAGGCTGAAGGCTATAGCTTATGCCTGTTCTACACACTTCCAGATGGAAGGAAGGGCCCATTCTTTGCCTTGGAAAAGGAACTCTGCCCTGCTGTGTCCCACTGGCTAGCCTCCAGCTTCCCCGTGTGGGGACAGCACAGCTGAGAAAATCATGGATGTGGAGTCTTAAGTTACCATAGGAGCAGGAATTCACCCACCGGAAGGAGGCCTGCAGCAGGGTGTGGGCGTCTCTACACAGAGCACTTTGCACAGCCATGAAAGATGTTGGAGTGGGGGTGACAAATTGCCAGGCTCCAGCCAGTAGGCTGTGTGACTGCTAGGCCTAGTCATGGGGCCTGGCTCAGCCTCTCCCAATCTCAGCAGAACTAGCTAGGACACTGGGCTAAGCATCAAACCATACAGTCAGTACCTTGCTAGCTTCTCTGGTAGAGTCTAGCTGTGAGTGGAGCTAGCAAAGGTGGTGGGGGCAAGGCAGAGGAACACATCATCTACCCAACAGAAGCCAGTTCTGCTGGGTTTCCCTGGGACTTGGTGTAATACAGCTGTTTCTTGCATGAGAATTTG